CCGCGCTCCCAAGTGGCGCACTGTAGCAGTGCGCCACCGGGCCGGCCCAAGTTTGTATAATATTTGAAATACTTTATTGTCAGAAAATGTTGACAGCGTCTCCACAAAGAGTAGATTCCTCTCAAGAAACCACTTACTTTGCTCATACATAAGAAGCAGATCTTCATCCGTGAAAGTTTTTTTCGTGACATTGCAGCAATTCAGTCATGTCCTTATGCTCCACTTCTGATTCTAGTTCTCTAGCTGTTTCTATCACATCTGCTGTTACTTCCACCACTGAAGTCTTGAACCCTTCAAAGTCAAGCAAGAGGGATGGAGTTAACTTCTTGCAAACGCCTGTTAATATTGATATTTTAAACATGAATCGCAAATGTTCTTAATGGTGTCTAGAATGTTGAATCATTTCCAGACAGTTTTTAATTTGCTTTGCCCAGATCCATCTGTGGTAGCAGTAGACTTGCAAAACGTATTTCTTAAATAATGACTCAAAGTCAAAATTACTTCTTGATCCCTGGGCTGCAGAATGGATGTTGTGTTAATAGGTATGAAAGCAACCTTAATTTCCTTCGAATCTCCATCAGGGCTCTTACGTGACAAGATGCATTGTCAGTGAGCAATAATAGTTTGAAGGGAATTTTTTTCTCTTTAGAATAGTCTCAACAGTGGGCTTAAAATATGCAGTAAACTGTGCCATAAACAGATGTGCTGTCATCCAGGCTTTGTTGTTCCATTTGTGGAGCACAGACAGAGTAGAGCTGGCATAATTCTTACGGGCCATAAGATTTTTGGAATAGTAAATGGACTTTGGCTTCAGTTTAAAGTCACCAGGTGTTTAAGTCCCTAACAGAAAGTCACCCTGTCCTTTGAAGCTTTGAAGCCAGGCATTAACTTCTCCTTTCCAGCTATGAAAGTCTAGTCTCTACCTAGATGGCCTCTTCTTCCAATAGAAGGCTGTTGTGTCTACATTGAAAATCTGTTGTTGGGCCGGCCCATGGCTCATTTGGGAGAGTGATGCTGATAACACCAAGGCCACAGGTTTGGATCCCTATATAGGGATGGCCGGTTAACTCACTTGGGAGAGCGTGGTGCTGACAACACCAAGTCAAGGGTTAAGATCCCCTTACCAGTCATTTAAAAAAAAAAAAAATCTGTTGTTTAGTGTAGCCACCTTCATCAATTGTCTTAGCCAGATCTTTGGCAACACTTGCTTCATCTTCTACATCAGCAGTTGCTGCTTCACTTTCCACCTTTATGTATGGAGATGGCTACTTTCTTTAAAGTTCATAAACCAATCTCTGCTAGCTTCAGACTTTGCTTCTGCAGCTTCCTCATCTCTCTCCACCTTCATCAAGTTACAGAGAGTGAAGGTGTTGCTCTGGGTTAGGCTTTGGCTTAAGGAAATTTTCTGGCTGGTTCAATCTTGTATCCAAATCCCTAATCCTTTTTGCATGTCAGAAATAAGGCTGTTTTGCTTTCCTGTTGTTTGTGTGTACATTGGAGTAGCACTTTTAATTGCCTTCAAGACTTTCCTTTGTAGTCCAGCTTGGCTAAATGTTTGGTGCATGGCTATCTACATGCCTTCCTTATTAAGCTTATTCATGTCTAGCTTTTGATTTAAAGTGAGAGATGTGTGACTTTTCCTGAACACTTAGAGGCCATTGCAGGGTTATTAATTGCCTGAATTTTAATACTGTTGTGTCACAGAGAATAAGAAGGCATGAGTAGAGGGAGAGGGATGGGGGTAGGAGAGAACACACACATTTATTGATTAACTTTGCCATTGTGTTTGGGTGCAGCTCGTGGCACCCCAAAACCATTACAAAAGTAACATAAACATTCACTGATCACCATAATAGCTATAAAATAAGGAAAAGATTTGAAATGTTGCAAGAATTACCAAAATGTGACAGATATGTTGTGAGTGCATGCTGGAAAAATAGTGCCGATAGACTTGAGCGATGCAGGGTTGCCACAAACCTTCAATCTGTAAATAATGTAGTATATGCAAAGTGCAGAAAAGGTGAAGTGTGATAAAATGAGGTATGCATGTACAGTAAGAATTCTTTCCTGATGATACATAAATCTCTTACTAATACTGGGATATTTTACATTTTTCTTCTCTATTGCTATTTCTAAAAGTTTTTTGACTCTCAGGTACTTAGATTATTTCATTACCAGGCAACATGAGTCAGCCATTAAATGTGTGTTAACTAATGGACTTGGCAGATGAATAGCAACATGGGATAGCAGTCCTGGAGTAATGTAAGGATTATTTTTGTGTGTAAAAATTATAATTAAATAATCTTTTCATTTCAAGGATGTTAAATAAGATTAACTTTTAGTGCAATAATACATTAGCATTAAAAAACATTTTCTAATACAATTAAATACTTGTCCCATATGTTATCTTAAAATATTATTAACTATTTTATCCCTTTCCCAATAGAAAGTTTTATATAACCAAACTGAATCATATTTTTGTTTAAAACATAGTGATAGGTGTGTGTGTGTGTGTATATACACATATTCTGCATTGAAAGCAATTCCTTATTATGCAGAGATGATGATTCAGTCTTTTATTGTACTAGCCTAAAGAAGATACTCGAACTTTTTCTTTAGCCAGGTATTTTCTACTTATTAAAAACAAAACTTCTGTGGAGTTTATGAGTTAGGTTAAATTCTGTATTTAAGTTTAGAACTTAAAATATATCATATCTAACTCTAAACTTACGAGTCATCATACTTTGTAGAGAAATACTGAAGCCTAGATAATTCATTTAGAATTTAATAGATAGTTAGATGTAAAATTTTAGCTTAATAGATGTTTGCAGATTTTTTAAGTTTAAAAAATAGGAATATCATTTAAACCTAATTGTAGTTATTGTAGTTAAAAAAAGGTTGTTCACCCCGGGACTGCTTAATATTACATCTCAAAAGTGTCTATATGTTGCATTTCAGTAGTCCAACCAAAAGGACTAAAATTTTTTTTCTATTTAGGAAAATAAAAGAAAGGCAAAACAAGAAACATTTTTTCTTCAACTTGTATGCACGTTATTCTGTAGTTTGAGGCAAAAAACATAAATTTTTTCCTGAAGCAAATGTATTGCTGATTTTTTTTTACTCTCCAAAATAGAATTTAGAGTCTTTTCTGAAATTTTAATGTTTTTAGGAATCCTTTGTTTTGATATTTTAATATATTTATTAGTTTTGAATTTTAATGATTAGGTAAAAACACAAATGATTTGAAAGGTTTTACATTAGTTTTCAAATTTTTTTCTGAATTTATTAAAATGTTAAGGATTTAGGGCCGGCCCGGTGGCGCACTCAGTAGAGTGCGGCACTTGGGAGCGCAGGGTTCGGATCCCATATAGAGACCGGTCCACTCACTGGTTGAGCGTGGTGCGGGTGCAACACTGAGGTTGCGATCCCGTTGCCGGTCGCGGTACAGGCGCAACACCGAGGGTTGCGATCCCGTTACTGGTCATGAAAAAAGACAAAAAGGAAAAAAAATGTTAAGGATTTAGGGCCGTCCCGGTGGCGCACTCAGTAGAGTGCGGCACTTGGGAGCGCAGGGTTCGGATCCCATATAGAGACCGGTCCACTCACTGGTTGAGCGTGGTGCGGGTGCAACACTGAGGTTGCGATCCCGTTGCCGGTCGCGGTACAGGCGCAACACCGAGGGTTGCGATCCCGTTACTGGTCATGAAAAAAGACAAAAAGGAAAAAAAATGTTAAGGATTTAGAAATATTAAAAATATTTTTATACAAAAGGAATTTGAGTTTGAGTAATTTTACCACATTTTAAGGACTGAGATTGCTTAATAGTTGTTCACATTACTTCAAAAAAAGGTTTGAAGTTTCATAAATTGGAAACTTGCTGAATATTGGTTAGATAATTGCACAGAAATAAGTTTTGAGAAGGTAAAACTAATGGACTTTTGGCATTTGAAAATTGTTACAAAGAATTCTGGAAATAGTGATGAAGATGTGATGTGGTGGGAAAGGACTTACTATGATGTTATTATTGATATCCTAACTTTTTTTAGTCAAATATTTGAATATACAGTGGAAAAAAATTAAGGGTGGGACATATTTGGGAGAACATTGGAATTCTTATTTATTTGGGTGGTGAGAAAGTGAATTGGAAAATTTTGAGCAATAAGAGGAGTTTTGTCAATGATTTAGGTCATGTGTATATTGTACATTTTGTTTAGTTTCTCTTAAATGATATTAGAAAGCAAAGTAAATATCAGCTTTAATTAATAGCTGTTCACAGTTTTTTATTGAATGGATCTGAATGTCCTTTAATGATTGTATTTTTGTAATACCTTTTTTTGGTTCTATTTTCAAAATAAATGTTTAACTGATTTTTTTTTTTTAAACACAAAAGAAATCTAGGGAAAAATGGATTGTCTAGTAGTCACATTTTGTTGGATAAATGTCCGCCTCCAAGACCACCAACTTCACCATACCCACCCTTGCCAAAGGACAAGTTGAATCCACCCACACCTAGTATTTATGTGAGTTTCAGTTGACTAACTAGAAATAAATCAAGTGTCTGAACTAACTTCAACTTGTCTGTCTATAGAAAATAGATGTATTTTTAAATCAATGCAGAGGCCCTTGAGGGAATATTCAATTTACTCTTACAGGTTGGATATTTCAGAAAACATGTTTGTATTCCAGAGGATGACAAATGAGTGCTTTTAGTTTAACTATTGCCTACCACCTCTTGTAAATAAAGTTTTATTGGAACACAGCATGCTTATTTATTTACATAGTTTCTTTTATTATACAACATAGGCAGAGTTAAGTAAGTGCAAAAGAGGCTAAGTAGTCCCTAAAGCAAAAAATATTTATTACCTGGCATTTGGCAGAAAAGCTTGTTGACCACTGGTGTCTTCAAAAAGATTTTCTGAAAAAAAATTTTTGGATGTCTTCTCAAAACTTGACTGAGATTATATGACTGCAAAACTTACTTTTTCTCTTGTCAGCTTTTAGTAAATATGGTTCTAAATCTACATTCTGCCATTTGCTATGTATAAACCTTAAAATTAATTCCGTTTTATGCTTCCATAGTAAAAGGATTATTTTTCATTTTGAAAAAAAATGGTTCAGAATGTAAAAGTGAAGAATGTATGCTATTAAAAAGTTTAAAAAATAGTAGTAGGTATTTTAAAATTTTAATTTGAAGTTCAGTGCTGTTTTTACTTTTCAGCAATGTACGCATTTGATGTATATAGTTGACATGAATTAAATCAAAGTAAATTTTTTCTCCAGAAGTTTTTGTGCCATTCATCCCTTCCATCTACCCACCAGGGCATAAATGAGAAAATTCTAGCCTAAAATGTGAAGTATTTAAAATGCTCTTTTCTTTGCCACATGTTAAATTAATGCTTTACCCAATTAAGATTTACTTATACCTTTTGACAGGAGGGTCTTGGGATAGAGATGAAAATAAATCTTTGAAATGAAACTTTGAGGGACTATAAACAAATTGAGATTGGTGTGGGAGTGCTCTTTCTGATCCTTCTTGAATTTTGTTAATGGTTTTTAAAATATTTTATTTTCAGTTTTAAATTTCACTTCTCCCACCTCTTACATTCAAGAAGTAATGGATGCACACTTGAAAAGTACATTTGGAAAATACTTTTGAATAGCTAAAATATTTAAATGTGATTTTACGTATCTTACTGTGATGTAAGAGATAGGTAACATTGTCTTCAAAGGAATCAGTTTTAAAATTTAAAAGAGAAATCTATATAGCTGTTAACTCCATAATATCCTGAAAAGACTAATAATGATAAAATAATGTAATATGTAGCAATACAATATTAATGGTTTGGAAGCACTATATATTTGAAACTGCCAGACTGATGAAACAATAATATGAATTTGTAGTATAATATTTAGTCATTTTTGTTTTGATATAACGAAATATTTTAATTTTACAGTTGGAAAATAAGCGTGATGCTTTCTTTCCTCCATTGCATCGATTTTGTACAAATCCCAGAAACCCTGTTACAGTAATACGTGGCCTTGCTGGAGCTCTTAAGTTAGGTAAGCTTAAAAAAAAGTCGAGCATTTCTTTTACTAAAACTTTTAGAACACTGGCAGAAACGAATTTTTCATGTTATGAGTTTTATTTTAATGTTCTGTCTCTCTATTTCTCCCCCGTGCACTTGCATGAGTGCACACATACATACCTTTAACGCATGATTGGTTTTTGGCAACTTTTATGGTAGACCTTTCCTTTAGTCTTAAATTTGGTGTCATTATGCAACATGAACATGAGTGATTTAGATTTCATAATAGAAGTTTTGAGTATGGAAAGTTTTGAGAAGGTAAAATTAGGTTCTACTTAATAAATGCCAGAGCGCCCTTACTACATTATTGTCACGATAATTAGATTCAGGGCTTCAAAGGACTGCTATACAAATCTGATTATCACATGGCTGTGAGCCACCATAAAGACAACTGGCGAAACTCAGTAAAAAAAAAAAATTGTTCTTAAGTACTTTCAAATTTTAATTGTATTGAATACAATTTTATTTATTAACAACAAATTTTTTTGTGAAGATCTTGGACTTTTCTCTACCAAAACTTTGGTAGAAGCTAACAATGAACATATGGTAGAAGTGAGGACACAGTTATTGCAACCAGCAGATGAAAACTGGGATCCCACTGGAACAAAGAAAATTTGGCGTTGTGAAAGTAATAGATCTCATACTACAATTGCTAAATATGCGCAGTACCAGGCCTCCTCCTTTCAGGAATCATTGAGAGTAAGTTTTTCTTTTTTTTGTTTTTTCTTGCAGTTTTAATAGTGAACATTACTCTTATAAACCATCTGTTTAGCTTATACTGTCATATGTTTTATAGGTGTTTTGTGATTTACAAGTTATTAAACTTTTAAGCAAATTACAGTTAATAAAGCATTTTTAATAGAGAAAGAAAAGTACTATTTCATGTATACCTTGTTTTTGGAATTTATTTTTAGAATGATAAACTAAATCTATTTATAGTTGCAGAATAATACCTAATATGAAGGAAATTATGTGGGTAGTTTATGTATTCATTTAACCATTTCACTTTATTTGAAAGATACTTCTATAGAAGCTTTTGTGGTCTTCCTGTATTAACTATAGTCTCTAAAGAATACTGCGGGAGAAGCAGAAACTTACATAAATGTCTCAATATATGTAAAGCTGAAAAACAAATAAAATCTTAAACCAGATGATGGTTACTAAAAGACCTAATAGTAATGAATCAGAAGTGTAATTCCCTAGCACTTGTTAAAATAAGAACTTTTGGGCCGGCCCGGTGGCGCACTGCTGCAGTGTGCCGCTTGGGAGCGTGGCGGCGCTCCTGCCGAGGGTTCGGATCCCACATGCGGACCAGCCGCTCACTGGCTGAGCGAGGTGCGGGCGCAACGCCGAGGGTTGCGATCCCGTTGCCGGTCCCGGTCCGGTACGGGTGTGACACTGAGGGTTGCGATCCGTTGCCGGTCACGAAAAAAGACAAAAAAAAAAAGGAAAAAAAAATAATAAGAAGAACTTTTGAATTTTTCCAAAAAATAAATTAAATATATATAACTATGTGACCACTAAATGTATTCCTTAAATATTTGGTTTGAATTAAGTTTATTCTTTACAGAGCACCTTTAATATAAATTACGAATTCGACCTGCAGTATAATATCTCAGATGAAAAGAATGTAGAAGTCTTACTTTCTTGTAAAGCTATTCTTATTTTTCATAAATTCTTATTTTTTAAAACTCCATCAAAGTTCTATAGCTGAAACATAATTTGAGATTGAAAGTTTTAAATTTGTAATTCTTCATTGATCTCCAGAAAGTATTTAAAATTCTGACCTCAGTTCTCATTTCTAATTAAATTGATATAAGTTGAATCTAATACTGATGTGAAAACAGTATATTTATAGAATTTTTATTTAAAGTAAATGAAAAGTTTATCATTTAACAATTCTTGAATACACTTCAGTGGCATATGTACATTGACATTGTTGTGCAAACAACACCAGTTATCCATTTCTGGCACTTTTCCATCATTCATCCCACTCTGAAAAACTGATCCCATTGAACAGTAACTCATCAATACTGTCTTCCCCCAGCACCTGGTTAATCCCTGTTTTACTTTCTTTCTCAATAAATGTGACAGTTCTGGTTTACTCATAAAAGTGGGATTATATATTATTTGTCCTTGTTTGTTTGGCTTATGCCTGCCAGGTTCATCCATATTTGTAGCATCAGTTTTCCCCAACACTATCTGTTGTCTGTATTTACCACATTTGTTTATCCTTTCATGTTACTGGTAGACATTTGAGTTATTTGCACATTTGGCTATGTTGAGATGCTCTGGAGATTGGTGTAATGTATATGTTCTTTTCCATACTTTTAATACTTTTGTGTCTACACCAGAAGTGGTATTGTGGATAATATGATAATTATAATGCTTAACTTTTTCAGGACCACCAAACTGTTTTTCACTGTGGCTGCACCATTTTACATCTTCCTAGCAAAGCTGAAGGGTTCTAATTTCTCCACCTCCTCACCAACAGTTTTTGCTGTTTTTTAGTAGTAGCTAACCTAATAGGTATGAAGTATTATCTTATGGCTTTGATTTACAATTCTCTAGTGATAAGGGGTTGAGCATCTTTTCATGTGCATATTGGCCATTAGTATATCTTTTTTGGGGAAACATCTATACAAATCCTTTGTAGATGTTTCAGTTGGTTTATTTGTTATTTTGTTGTTGAGTTTGGAAGTTCTTTGTATATTCTGGATACTCAATCTATATTAGATATGTGATTTGCAGGTATTTTTCCCCATTTTGTGGGTTGTCATTTTACTCTTAGTGTTGCCCTTTGATACACAATTTTAACATTTTTGGTGAAGTTGAATTTACTTACTTTTTCTTTTGTTGTCTGTGCTTTTGGTATTTAAGAAATGCCAAGTACTACATCAGGAGAAGAAAAATAACTTTTCCCATTTTCTTCTTACAGTTTTATAGTTTCAACTCTTACGTTTGTGTTGCTGTTCTATTTTGAGTTAATTTTTGTTTTGTGGTTTAATATATGGGACCAACTTCATTCTTTTGCATGTGGGTAACCAGTTACCTCAACATTATTTATTGAAAAGATTGACCTTTCTCCTGTTGAATGATTGTGTCACCTTCATCAAAAATCATTTGGCCATAAATGCAAGCATTTCTTTCTGAACTCCATATTCTATTTTATTGGTCTATGTCTGCCATGCCAGTAGCATACTATTTTGATTACTCTAGTCTTGTAGTAAACTTTTAAATCAGGGAATGTGAGACCTCCAACTTTATTCTTTCTTTAAGATTGTTTTCCTGTTAGTTTCTTATAAGATTCTATATGAGTTTTAAGATGGATTTTTTTGAATGTTGTTGGAATTTGGGTAAATATTACATCAAATCTGTAGATTGCTTGGGTAGTAGTGACATTTTAACAATATTTAGTTTTCCAAACCATATATCCTTGTCTTGTTCCTGATTTTTGAGGAAAAGCTTTCGTTCTTTCTTGAGTATGATGTTAGCCATCGTTTTCATATATGCCTTTTATTATGTTGCAGAAGTATCCTCCTATGCCTACTTTGTGAGTGTATTATCACTTAAGGATGTTCAGTTTTGTGAAATTCTTTTTCTGCATCAACTGCGATGATCATCTGGATTTTTTCCTTCATTCTATTAATGTGTATTATACTGACTGATTTTTGTGTATTATACTTGAATTCCAGGAAGAATGTCCACTTGGGTCATGGCATGTAATTTTTCTGTATTGTGTTGCTGAATTTAGCTTACTAATACTTTCTGAGAATTTCTTTGTTAATATTTATAAAAGATAATGGTCTATACTTTTATTTCCTTATAGTGTCATCAGCCCAGTGTGTGTCATAGTAGAGCTGGCTTCCTAGAATTAGTTAGGAAGTGTTCCCTCCTCTTTTTTTTGGAAGTGTTTGAGAAGTATCAGTATTAGGCAAAACACAGTCTTTCAGTCAGTTCTGAAATGAGTTAGAATGTTGCAAATAATGTCTATTCGGCCTCCTCTGGTTTGAGGCAACAATCAGAACTAAATTGCCACGTTGTCCAGAATAACTTTGTACCATGCCTGGGAGGGAATGGGGCAAGGATAAGTGAAAACACAAGATTTCCTATTGATTTGAGCATGGCTTTTTCTTGTCCACGGTTTCTTAGCTGCTGTAGAACTGTGACTATTTTCCGTACATTCTGTAAGAGTATTTTAGGTAATTTAAAAATTTTTGACATGGAGAAGTGAGGGCTTGGACCTCCTTATCCACCATTTTGGCTGATGTCACCTGTCCCTGTTTCTTTTTATACCATGTTACTGAGATCATTTACACAGTATACAATTCTCCAATTTAATGTGTAAGTTCAGTGGTTTTTTAGTGTCTTTTTGGTTATGCAACCACCATCATAATCAGTTTTAAAGAATATCTCATTATCCCCAAATGAAAGCCCCTTCCCATTTGCAGTCGTCTATATTTCTCCCAACTTCCACAGTCCAAACAACCACCTATTTACTTTCTGTATGTATAGATTTGCTCGTTCAGTATCCCTATAAAAGGAATGGTGTAATGTTGTCTTTAGTGGCTTTTTTTAAGCATATATATTTTCAAGATTTATCCATGTTTGTAGCATGTATCAATACTTCATTTCTTTATTGCCCAATAGTACTCCATTGTATGGATATACCACTTTTTTTCTTTCTTTTTAACTATCAGTTTACAGACATTTAGGTTACTTCTATTTTTGGGGTGTTCTCAATAATTCTGTTATGAATACTCATAAACAGGAGTGTATTTGTGTGGACATGTATTTTTATTTATCTTGGGCAGATGCCTAAGAGTAGAATTCCTAGGTTATATGATAACTCAGTGTGTTTCCTTTTAAGGAAATGCAACATTACTTTTCAAAATGGTTCTACCATTTACATTTCTGCCCATGATTTCTAAGGGTTATACTCTTTCCAACACCTTTTGTTATATGTCCTTTTGATTCTAGTCATCTTAGTGGTTGTGAACTGTTATCTCATTGTGATATTGATTTGCATTTCTCAAATGGCTGTTTGTGAATGTCTTTTCATTGACATTATCTGTGTATATAGTATATATCTTCTTTGGCAAGATGTGTGTTCAATTCTTTTGCCTATTGTTTGATAGGACTATTTGTCTTTTTATTATTCAGTTGTATAAATGTTCTTTATGTATAATATTGTTACAGTTTACTCCTCAAGTAGTTAATATGCAGATATTTCTTCTGTTTTGTGAGTTTTCTTTTCACATGTGATGGTTCTTTGAAGCACAAAAGTTTTAATTTTGATGGAGTCTTATTTATTCACTTTTCTTGTGTTGCTTTTTCTTGAGTCATTGCTAAGAATCCTGCCTAATTTATGGTTATGCAGATTTACCCCTATGTTTTCTTGTAAGAGTGTTATAGTTGTAGCTCTTACATTTATGTTATTGATTCATTTTGAGTTAATTTTTCTATATGATACTAGGTCGGAGTCCAACTTTATTCTTTTTACATGAGGATTTCCAGTTGTCCCAGAACTGTTTCCCTATTACACAATCTTGGCATCCTTGTCAAGAGAATAACACACATTTTTATGTTCAGCATTCAGTTTTTTTATATTTACTGTGGAAACGTTTTATTATTTATGAAGAATTCATAATGTCAAAAATTTAGCCTATGAAGAACTTCTGTGTGCCCTCAATTTTTAGTGTGATTCACACAGGGAATATCAGGGTGATTAAACAAAACGATAATTAGAAATAGAGGATCTTAACTTTGTTTACCCTTATATCTATCTGTATGTGTGTATATTTGTAGATATATGTAAACATAGTCCTTCTGTCAGTTCAGAATGCGTGCCACTGCTTTGCTACTTGGCATTTATAATTTTGATAGTTAGGACTTTCCTTAATCTTGCTTTAATTTTTTCTTCATTATTTTATATTTGGGACAAGTATAAGAATCCACATATTTCTTATGGAATAGTGTCTACAGGGCAGAACAAAACAGTGTTTTTTTAATTTTTCAAATAGGGAATTAGGTCTTCTAAGTAGATCTTTTCCTATAGTTATTTCCCCAATTATTTGTCAGTTTTTGCATATTATTCTTACTTTGTAGTTCTCCCTCAAATTCCCTTGACATTTTAAGTGAAATTTGTCATTTAGAAAATCTGTTGGATTAAAGGAAAATTAGAACGGGTGCTTTTCTTATAAATTAGTTTAAACCTTAGTTTTATAATATTTATTTTGTGGCTGTTGGAGAAGTTTGAGTATCATGCCTTTGGGCTTTGACTTTTTGGGAGTCTACCTAGTGAAGTCATTGAAGGTATTTTCTGTGAAATGTGCCTATAGAAATTTAAGTTAAAAACATAGACAATACCACTCACATGGATCAGTATTTTTTTCATTTGTATTATGAAAATGGTAGCCTGTTACAGGATACTAAGTGTGAACATTTTTGTTTAATCCATAGGAAGAAAATGATAAAAGAATGCAACGTAAAGACTATTCAGATAATGAATCCGTGTCTTCAGATAAGTAAGTAACTGATAGCATCCTCTCAGTATTTCTGTCTGAAAGACATGGGTTTAATATGCTCTCTTTTTTTAAGTTCTGGAAGGAGAAGGAAAGGACCTTTTAAAACCATAAAATTTGGGACCAGCATTGACCTCTCTGATAACAAAAAGTAAGTCCCCCAGCACCAATACTATTAATATGAACTTAAAGCAAGGAGGATTGCAGGGTTGGAAAATTGTTCAATAGAAAGTTTTCTCATTTCCTATTCTTTTCTATCCTTAGTAATTTTTTAAAATTTTGACATACAAGGACTAGCTAAAAAATCTAGCATTTTGAATTGTTTTTACAATTAGAATATTTTTGTCTTACTTAAGAAAAATACGGTACTAATTTTACAAGTTTAAAATAGAAATTAAAGTGTTTTATTTAGTACGTTATTATAAATTTTTTTGGTTTTTTTTTCAGTGATCTCTTTGTTTTAGGACTTTTTTTAATCTTTGGATAAAGTTAAACCCTCTAGTACTACTTCTGACTGTAAAGGTAAAATATTTATAGGCTTAATTGTTTATCTGATTAGATCACAAGATTTTTGAAGACATGGTTAATTGTCATAAATATTTGCAGCAGGGTTTCACTCTTGATATGTTATTTTATTGCAGGTGGAAGTTGCAGTTGCATGAGCTGACTAAACTTCCTGCTTTTGTGCGTGTCGTATCAGCAGGAAATCTTCTAAGCCATGTTGGGCATACCATACCGGGCATGAATACTGTTCAGCTCTATATGAAAGTTCCGGGGAGTCGAACACCAGGTGATTTTTATGAACTACTGTATCATATATAATTGAAAAAAAAGAGTTAATCAGATGTGAAGCATGCACACAGAACCATTCTCTTCTCATTTATAATTAATAAAGCTAAAAAGATTAAAAATTTTTTTCTCATAGATAAGAATGTAATTATTCTCACAGCTGAGATCAGAGTATTAACGGTTTACTCCATTTTGTTTTATTTTATTTTATTTTATTTTTATTATTATTTTTTTGTCTTTTTCCGTGTCCGGCAACGGATCGCAACCCTCAGCTATCCAGTGCACCACCGGGCAGGCCCAGGTTTACTCCATTTTAAAAAGAATCCTTCTTATATGTAAATAACAAAACCATCACAAAAATTTAAACTGGAAAGAGGCACTAAGTCACTAAATGAGTGAAGGAACTTATAAAGTTTTTATCCTATTGTCGGGCCTCTCTGAGCCAGAGGCCGACAAAACCGAGCGGGAAGAGACCCCGGTCCAGCCGGGGGTCCCTTGTGGGGCTGAGCGGGATGATGAGTGTCGCTGGCACGGCCCTTCCCCCCCAGGATCTTCCTCCCCGGGGGCCGAGAAAGAACACCGCCGAGCCAGGAGAGTGGTCAAAGCCGGAACTCCGTTTATTAGAAAGGTGTTGGAGTTTATATAGAGGAAGAAAGTGGAAACAGAGAGGAGAGGCGGGAGGAGATGGTTATCCAATCAGGGGAAGCCACAAGTTATGAAGAGGGGTGATGACAGGGCGGGCAAAAACTGCTTAGTCACTGGGCCCCGGAAAAGAAGGACTTCTAGCTACGTGCATTAAAGCGCCGTTTCACGAGCGGCGGAGGCCTTACGCCAGCAAGATGGCCACCGCTTGATCTATTTTAGGGAACAGGAACCATACTTAGGCAGGCGCCTTATGATTTGATTGCGCCGCAACATGGCCCAACATCCTATTGGCTGCAAGCTGACAGTGCTTTTCAAAGTATTTACTACAGTTACATAAAGAGCCTATATTATATCATGAACTAGTTTACTGACACTATGTAATAAAAATTTTATCAGCAATACTGAAAATATATCATGCACTGATGTTTTCTAATCTGTTCAGTTTTCATTTTTAAAAAATGTAATTTAAGAAGTTTCTAATGTAAGAGTTAGCAAAAATTTTTTAAAGGGCTAGATAGTTAATATTTTGTTTTTGTAAGTCAAAAAGTTCAGTTGACGATATTTTGTAGGTACTTACATAAAAACATAAAAATGAATTTTAATAAATTAAGTGCAGATTTTTCTTTTTGTTTTTATGTTTTTGTCTTTTTTGTGACCGGTAAGGCGATCGCAACCCTTGGTGTGGGGTCGCCCGCACAGTGCTCAGCCAGTGAGCGCTCCCGCCATTCCTATGTAAGATCTGAACCAGCGGTGGGAGCGTTGCCACGTTCCCAGCGCTGCACTCTCCTGAGTGCACCACGGGGTCGGCCCAAAGTGCAGATTTTTCTGTCTACTAAAGAGAATAGAATTATTTTTGGAAAAATAACATTTCACTTCACTGGGCATCAAAATAAGTGTTCTCATATCATCAGAATTGAGTACAAATGCACAAGTGTTAAAGTTGTTTTGTAGTGAGATGTTCGAAAATGTTTTTTCTTTTTTGGTTTTGTTTGGTGGCTGGCTGGTATGGAGATTTGAACCTGTGACCTTGGTGTTAGCAGCACCATGCTGTGTCCCAAGTGAGCTAACCGACCAGTCCAGTATCAATCACATGAATGGATTGATACTGCCAAATATTGATATCAATCTAGGAGCGTATTTTCTTAAGTGTATTAATTGCTTGGAAGGCAATTACAGGCATGTTCAGATTTTTTACTTGATGCTCTACGTTTGGGTTTTGTTGCATTGAAGATTAAACATTTCCAGTTGAAGGTCAGTTACACATACGGATTTTGAAATATGGAAATTTTCTCTGCACTTATACTGAGGTTGGGAAAATGCTGCTGGAACTGTAGTTTGAGCTCAAAAAGTAAGTTGGAAATATTTGTAGCAATAAAGATCTAGCTTTTTAAAAGAACTGTAAACAGTGTAGAGAGTAAAGTGTATAAAACAGCCTGACTCTACTTGTGATACAAAAAAAATTTATGTCCTGTTTTTTACCTTGTAATTTTTAGGTTGACTTTGTTAAGAAACATTTGAAGCCTGCACCAAAATTTCCATGGCCAATCAGTGTTGAATAATAGTGGTTGACAGTATAGCTGACCCAAGTGAGATTTATTTTAAAATCAATTAATATAGTTCACAAAGTAATTTCTACTTTAAAGTTTGGAAAGTCTTTAATTAAAGTATATTTTATTTGGTACAAAGTGCATTATAGTAAAAAGAAGGTAGTTTATCCAAAATTTCTTCCCATTCAGAAAAAAAATTTTCTCCTCAACCTTGAGCTCTAAAAAATAACAAAACAACTTTCACCATTGCTAGCACTGACGAACTTTTTGGTAGGGCAAGAGAAGATATTTAGCTTCTATTTCTGACAAAAATTTGTGGAATTGATGTTCAGTATGTCTTTGAGAGTTGCCCATGATAATGTATTTTTTGCAAGTCTGCCAGTGAATAAATACAGTGATGATAACTGTAGGTATTATTAAGCACATTACATTTCACAATAAATGAAAATGAAATGAATCACAAAATGTCTTTTTTCATTTAAAATGTTGCAGAGGAAAAAATAAACTTCAAAGATTATGTTTTTGTCATTGTGTCTGAAGTGTTTGGATTTTTTTACTTCTTTGCATAGCATTAGTACTTAAATAGTGTCGTGTCCCATGCTTAAGGATTCCTTGGAAGAAATATATAGTATGTTTTAGTTCACTCTATATAATTTAAAGAAACAGTGTTTTGAATTCCCATTTATGTGGGTTTTATTCCTGTTGTTACATAACAGAGTTCGCAATCTGACATGATCTTTAAGCATGGTCTAAAAAATTCAGATTGCTCATAGACTTTAAGCTAAGGTTATATATGCAGTATGTACTGTAAATGCTTATCACTCTTCCAACAAGGGTAGGTACATGGTATTGACCTTGGTGTCCCAACATCTCTAATATTCATTTTAAAAAGCTCTGTTCCATGGACAGTACTATCCATCTTCCCATGATTGAAGAGCTATGAGCATTTACATTATATATTGACATCAGATTGGAATGTTATAGGAGCTGTAGAGTGCTAAGTGATCTGTTACATTTTGAAAACAATACCTCTTTATTTCGTTAATTTTCTGATATTATTTGTGAGAATTGGGGAGTGGCTTATGGAGGAAAAAGTAGTAAAAATGATAACAGTTAGCATTTATTACATGTCATGTGCTAGTCATTGTTCTAAGCATTTATTTTTTACTCAGCCCTCAAAACCATTCAGTGTTTTAAAGGTATATTTCCCCATTTAATTTACAGTGTGGTTGTGAATTGCATTTTGTTTTATTTTCAGGTCACCAAGAAAATAACAACTTCTGTTCTGTTAACATAAATATTGGTCCAGGTGATTGTGAATGGTTTGTTGTACCTGAAGATTATTGGGGTGTTCTGAATGACTTCTGTGAAAAGTAGGTTTCTGAACTAAACTTTTTAAAACATAATGATAAGAAAATTATAAAGGACAAATGCAAAGCTGGGTTTCTCAATGTAGCTGCCAGTTTTTGCTTATTGTTTAACAGAAATTTTATTTTAAATGATTTGGTTTAAAATCTTTCATATCTTTTATGTTGTCTGGAATACTTAAAAGATGTCATGTAACCAGTCTGTTCAGTCATAGGAATGAATTGTGAGCATAGAAAGTAAATTGTTTTTTATGTTAGTGTAAAAAATTGATGTTTATTTGATAAATGTGGTTTAAAAAAAATTAGTCTTATTATTGTTTTTAGAAATGGGAAGAACTCTAAAATTAAACACCATTATAGCTTACTAATAATGCAATGTCATGTAAATTTTAATTTAGCCTAAAAATATCAATGTCCCATAACAAGTAAATTGCATGATTTTTTTAGTGCTGGTAATGATATTAGTAGAAAAATAAAAATGTGTAAATTATACATGTATTGTATACTTACAATATGGCACAAGTATTGGAACAAAATTCTCATAACATTTCAAGTGAGATTTATTTTATTTTATTTATTTATTTTTTCCTTGTTTGTCTTTTTCCGTGTCCGGCAACGGATCGCAACCCTCAGTGTCGCGTCCGTACCGGACCGGGACAGGCAACGGGATCGCAACCCTCGGTGCTGCTCCCGCACCTCGCTCAGCCAGTGAGCGGGAACCGGTCCGTATGTGGGATCCGAACCCTCGGCGGGAGCGCCACCGCGCTCCCAAGCGGCGCACTGTAGCAGTGCGCCACCGGGCTGGCCCAAGTGAGATTTATTTTAAAATCAATTAATATAGTTCACAAAGTAATTTCTACTTTAAAGTTTGGAAAGTCTTTAATTAAAGTATATTTTATTTGGTACAAAGTGCATTATAGTAAAAAGAAGGTAGTTTATCCAAAATTTTATCTACTGGCAAGAAATAGTAACTTTTTACAATTTCTGCTATGTAATGTGTACATTTTCCTCAGTAACAAAGTTGAAGTCTTTTAAAGTTTAAAGTTAATTAAAACTTCTGTCTGGACTTCCTGTACCAGGAAACTGGTAGTTTAAGCAAGGGAAAGAGAATTGTCATATAAAAATTTCCACTGTGTCCAGAAAGATTTATTTCTTAAAGCTCTGAACATGTGTGTTGTTACCCTTAAGTACAGTGATTTTTGTTCATTATTTTTCAGTAGGAACTGGTTATTTTCAGTGCTTAGGTTTCTTTCCTTTCCAAACAGAGAGGTATCCTTAAGTTAAAGATAGTTGGAAAACACAAGTGATATCCAAAAAATTTGAGCTTGGGAGTAAATAAAAATACTAAGTTAAATGATTTCATTTATATTAGGCTGCAGAAATATTGCCCTCTTTGCAATTTCATTGTAACCTTATTTTGCAAAAGGATCATTACTTCTGATATTTATAATTTCTGTAGTTTTTTTTTTTTTGACTCTATGTATAAACCAACCTTTGCTTAGAACTTTTGAAAAACTACTTGATCTATCTGTCTTAGTTTTGCTCTCTTCCTCTTCTTTTTTATTAAATAGAAAGTTTGCTTGTTTTATAATGAAAGTATATAGGTAAAATAGGGCTAACGTTTGTGCTGTGCTTTTAACTTTTCCCTTTCTTCTTTTCCATTTGTTTGTTTTTTATTATCAATTCTTTGGAAGTTTACAGAAAACATACCATTTTTTATCCCTCACTTGTCATCATCTACTAGACATATTAAGAAAAGCTTTACATTTTTAAGAGAAAAAATGAAAGAGAATAAGACTCCATATAGACAACTCCAAGTCACTTTAAAATTAAAGCTTAGTAATTTGGTCTGATTGTATTGGTGCCAGCAATGATAGAGGTTCATGTATGTGACTTGAAACTTTACTGTATAGACTTTTGAAAAGTAAGTTTAAGGTAACAGTAACTGATCTTTGTATAAGTCAACCAATATTCACCTGCAATTATTTTTTCTCAGGATTGACCCTCCACGTTGAAGTCTTCACTTTTAAAAGATACAGTTCTTGTTGTAATGCTTTTCAATGCACATTTTTTATGAGATAAATACTGAGAGCGTTTTTTAAACTTTTGACATTATCTTCCCATCATTGATGAGACATAAAAGAACTTGATCCTTTATATTACTTATTCTCTTTTTTTACAGAAATAATTTGAATTTCCTTATGAGTTCTTGGTGGCCCAACCTTGAGGATCTTTATGAAGCAAATGTTCCTGTCTATAGGTTTATTCAGCGACCAGGAGATTTGGTATGGATAAATGCAGGCACTGTGCATTGGGTTCAGGCTATTGGCTGGTGCAATAACATTGCCTGGAATGTTGGTCCACTTACAGGTATTTTAATTAATACATTAACAAATTTTACATTTTAAAGGACTGTTTCTAATATATATTATTTTTATGTTAGAAAACAACTTATTAAAAAGAGAAAGAGTATGTGTCCTAGGAACAATCTTAATTGTTATACAGAGTTTAAATTCAAGCTAAAAAATGGCAATCCATGAACAGAGATTTCAGCAAATAATAAGTTTATTTCTTTGTAGCCATAAATAGTATACTTGATGTTTAGGTGCTGTATAGTACACTTAGTATACTTACTATACTTGTGTTTGGTTTTTAAAAATGAAGTCCTTTATGGAGGAGTGAAACACAGTTGTTATTCTTTAGAATTTTAAAATTTCATCTGGCATATCTTATGAGCAGCCCTTGTATATCAAAGTATTTAATATATGTAAGGTAAGGAATTTGGCCTTTGTGTCCAGGAAGATCTGAATGAAGGCTTAACTCCACGTTAACTTTCTGACTTTGGGATGGTTTTAAAAAAAATTCTTAGGGACTCAGTTTCTTCATCTACAAAATAGGGATTAGAAAATCAAGAAGACTTTGAAAGAATGGAATGAGATAAAGCATAAAAAGAACCTAGCACAAAGCCATCCATATTGTGAGTGATGTTTGCATGAAAGATCTTCTTAACCATAATTATCATTAGATGTAATAATCTTACAGTGTTTGAGTTTTTCAGAGTTGGTGTTGAAGTTATCGTCTGAGAGGTGATAATTATTACCTTCGTATCTTTTGCTATTTTAGTTACTTTTTGACTGTTGCTTTTTTTTCTCTTAGCCTGTCAATATAAATTGGCAGTGGAACGGTACGAATGGAACAGATTGCAAAGTGTGAAGTCATTAGTACCCATGGTTCATCTTTCCTGGAATATGGCACGAAATATTAAAGTCTCAGATCCAAAGCTTTTTGAAATGATTAAGTAAGTGCTTTCAAAAACTCACGTAGTCCCTCTTATTGGTGGCGGAGTGTTAACTATTCAATGTTTTTTTCTCCACAGAGTTATGTTGACTTCAGATGATTAAATAAATAGTCCAGAAGTCGTGGTGAAATGCAATAAGAGAATTCACATCTTAAGGAAAAGTCCTTTTTTCCCAAATAGTCACTTACGATTATTATGGTACAGACAGAAATAAAGGCATACAGGATCTATACCAGTAAATGCAAAAATCTGTATTTTCCCCTATAATCTGATTAAACTGATATCGTAGGACAACTTAAAGTTGTTTTATTGTTTTTTGTTTATTTTATTTTATTTTTCCAATTATATTGAGGTATAGTTGACAATCAAAACCTGTGTTACACCTTGATACACGTACATTATGAAATATACATCAGAGTTAAGGTAATTAACATCTGTTATATCACGTAGCCATTTGTGTGTATGAGTGAGTGGTGAGAACACTATCCTCTTAGAAAATTTCAAGCATACAAGACACTATTGTATTAACTGTTGTCATTTTATGGTACATTACATTCCCAGAACTTATTTATCCTGTACAACTGAAACTTTGCATTCCTTGACCAACATCTGTCTATATCTTCTTTACCCCACCTTCTGTTAACCACCATTCTATTCTGTGCTTCTGTGAGTTTGACGTTTTTGAGATTCTGCATTCAACTGAATTAATATAGTATGTATCTTTCTGTGTCTGGCTTATTTCACTTAGCATAATGTCCTCCAGCTTCATCCAAGGTGTCACAGATGACAGAATTTTCTTCTTATTTAAACTTCTTTAAAAACTTATTTCATTGTGGTTCTCTATATCGATTGCAAATAATGATGAAATGAACACGTGAGTGCAGATTTCTCTTTAAGATACTGTACTCATTTTCTTTGAACATATACCGATTAGTGGGATTTCTGGATCATATGGCATTGTGGTAGGAAAAGATCCTTGGAATTATTTTGATCTTTGAAGTTATTTAAGACTTGTTTTGTGACCTCAGAATGTTTTATGTGTACCTGAGAAGAATGTGTTGGGTGAATAATTCTAAGTCTGTGTTAGTTCCATTTGATCTATAGTGTTATTTAAATCAGCTCTTTTTTGATTGTCTGGGATATTCTGTAGGTTATTATAAGTAGGGTATTGAATTACTGTCAATTTCTCCCTTAAGATCTGTCAATATTTGCTTTGTATATTTAGGTGCTCTGATGTTGGGTGTGTATATATTTATAATTTTTATACCTTCTAGTTGAATGGACCCTTTTGTTATACATTGACCTTCTATTTCTCTACAGATAGTTTTAGTTTTAAAAGTTAGTTTCTCTGATCTAAATATAACTACCCCTACTCTCTTTTAGTTATCGTTTGCATGGAGTATCTTTTTCCTTCTTTTCACTTTTATTCTTTGTGTAGACAGATTACTTAGTCTTAATTTTTAATTTGTTCACTCACTCTATGCCTTTTCTTTGATGAGTTTAATCCATTCACATTTAAGGTAATTTGGTTACTATTGCTATTTTAAAAATTGTTCTCTATCATGCAATTGTTTTATCAGTTTTCTTCTGCTGCTGTCTTCCGTTATTTGGCGGGGTTTTGGGGGGGAGTTTTTTTTTTATAGTGATTTGCTTTTATTCTTTTTCTATGTATCTTTTGTGTAACTTTTGTAGGTTTTTTCTTTGTGTTAACTAGAGTTTTACATAAAATACTTTGTAGTGATACCCTGCTCTTTTAAGTTGACAATGACTTAATTTCAGTCACACACAAAATACTTTTACTCTTCTCCCAAACACACTTTGGTGTTCCTGTAGGCAGAGTTTGTGTCTTTTTACATTTTGTATCCTATTAAATTTTATCTTTTAATTCATATTAGGGTTAAAAGTAAAATTGTGCCCTGCCATTACAATGTTGCATTAATTTTTATATGTACATGCATTTATATTCCCCAGTGAGATAATTTGCTTTCATATGTTTTTGCTTTGCTGTTTATCATGTTTCTGTTTAAATTTGAAGAACTCCCTTAAGTATATTTTGTATGACAAATCTAGTGGTAACAAACTCTCTTGGTTTTTGTTTTTCTGAAAAAACTTTATCTGTCCTTTATTTTTAAATTATAATTTTGCTAGGTGTAGTATTCTTGGAGTGCAGTTTTTTGTTGTTGTTGTTGTGCTTTTTTTTGAATATGTCATTCCATTTCCTGGTAGCTTGAAAGGTTTCTGCTGAGATACCCATTAATTGTCTAATGTGGAATCTCTTAACATATGATGTGTCACGTTTCTCTTACTGCTTTAAAAATTTTCTATTTGTTCCTGATTTTAGTCCTTGATTTTAAAGTTTGATTATAGTGTGTCATGGTGTCAAGATCTTGGTGTTCATCTGTTTTGGGCATAATGGGATGTGTGTTTAAGCTTTCCAATTTGGGGAAATTTTCTGCCCCTTTCTCTTTCTCTTATCAAACTTCTGTAATGTGTACACTTTTCAGTTGATGGTGTCCTGTAAGTCCTGTGGGCTTTCTCACTCTTTTTCATTCTTTTTTCTGTTTGTCCTTTGACTGGATAATTTCAAATGATTTGTCTTGAGTTTATTGAGTCAATGATTATTTTCAATTCTTTATCAGATCATTTGTAGATCTTCATTTCTTTGGGGACAGTTACTGGAAAATTATTGTTCTCCTTTAGTGCTGTCATATTTCCTTGCTTCTTTGTGTTTTTTATAGCCTTGTGTTGATGTCTGCACACTGGAGGGAGTAATCACCTATTTCACAATTTATGGGCTGGTTTTGGTTGGGAAAGAGCTTCACCTGCAGGAGGTTTCATGAATGTCTGCCTGATATTGTGTGATGGTTTACCTCTGGGGACGGTGCAATGGCAACATCTCTATCCAGCTCCCTCAACTGAGACCAGTGTTGGTGAAGATTTGGAGGTCATTGCTACCTGTGGTGGTGTCAAAAGCTACTGCGGTCATCTTATTTTTCCTCCCCATAAGGGGAAGTTATGACCAAGGTGATCTCTTTTCATTTTAGGTCTGGCATGTGAATATGTTTGTGGTGGCAGTTGTGCCATTACAGGTGCATGTGAGGGGTGGTGGCTCCCTCTTCAGGTTTTCCATAGCAGATATGATGGCTGTTGAAATCATCAGTGGCAGAGGCTGCTGTGGTTTTCTGCACAATGGGCTGCTGTGGAGGATTGAGTTTGCTTCTGCATATGGCTGCTGTGGATAGCCCCTGCTTTTTTTCTTTGTTCCTCCTGTGGAGCTGCCTCCAAACATAGTAATTGTGCTTGTCTCTCAGTGATCTGAGTAGGGTGGAACAGAAGCAGATCTTTCAGGTAATGCCACTGGGCAAGTTGATTGCTTACCCTGCTCTCCTTTTCCCCTATGAGGGGATCTCACTAGTCAAAATCTTGCTCAACTGAGCTGTGGTGACCTGAGAGATGGCATGGTACAGGCAAAATGAAACTGTTCTTCCTGCCTTTTCTGTGTACTTACTTGCCTTTTTCCCTCCACTGTGTTGTTATGGTTTCTTATGTGGACTCCTGAGCTCTCCCAAAGCTTTTGTCATTCATTGCTAGCTGTTTAATTGTGTTTTTTTGTGGGGAACAGAGGCTGGGATCTCCTATGCTGCAATATCACCATTGCCTAACATCTTTAGTTTAAATATTGGAAGTCTGTCTGCAGCAACAGTGAGTGAGAATGGTGTCAAAATATAATTACCTCATAGAGAACTTAGCATTTAAAATAGCAACTTAATTAAAATACTGAAATTTTCTGACTGTTCTAATTAAATTATCTATCTCATAGCTTGTTTAAGTACTCCTTACAAATTTAATGGATTAACTATTTGAATAAACATGTTCTAATAACTTTTCATTTATTAGTATAATCTCTGTTCCAGCTGTTTTGTAACTGTATTTTTGATACATTTTCAAACAGTGCCACATAGCAATATTTCTCCAAATTGTTTTACATGTTTTTCTTTACTCTGTTATCTCCACCAGCACCAGAATGAAGGATAATTCTGGTCAAAGAAATTTGGAGAATTTTGGACCAAGCAGTTAAACCAATGTCCTTTTGTCATTGTTGTTAAGTTTATTCAGACTGTATCATATAATATATATATATATATTCAGGTATTTTTTGAATGGAAAAGTAAGATTCACAGTGTTCTCAAACTTCTTGGACATGTATCTTTAAAAAATGGTGCTGGCTTATTTTTTAAAAACAATTTAAAATCTAAATTCAAAATTTTTGTTCTAACAAATATATCCAAACAAAAAACTGTGAAGCCAGTGTAATGTGCCTGTGAGTTCAGGCACTATTTTATCCATTGATTCGTTTTATTAATCTATTGTTTGGATTTTAAAATTGGAAACGATTTTATTTTTTTATTTTTTTTTATTTATTTTTTTTTTTCTATGCATATAATATTTGCCTTTTATTTTTTTTTATTTTTTTTTTTTTCAACTGTGTAATTTTTTTTTTTTTTTTTTTAATTTTTATTTTGTCAATATACACTGTATATGATTATTATGGCCCATCACCGACACCTCCCTCCCTCCTCCCTCTCTCCCCTCCCCCCCAAGAATGTCTTTTCCGTTTGCTTGTTGTA